GACATTCAAGACTGCCTGTATTCCACAAGACTGTGTGCCAGGGCATGCATTCTTGGCAGGTTATACTGTGCAGTGTGATATGTGACCACACCTTTTATGCGTTGGCCAGAACTGGCACTGACCCACAAAAAGGGGGTGCTGGGAGTTCTGGCTTATGAATAGGGTTCCATGTTTTGGGTGTTTTTTAATTTGTGAGTATTACCTGGCTCAGTGAGCAAAAGAAGAGCCGTGATCAAAGGGTGCAGCCAAAAGCTGTAACCAAAAGTTGTGTCCAAATGCCGTGACCAATGCGACGCAATCTAAGGAAAAAGAAAATAAGAGAAAAACAAACAGCTGTGCTCACGTTATCATTTTCGTCATGTGACTTAATTAGTAATCACGTGATCGAACAAAAAATAAACCTAGAAATAAATTATTTCCTGCCCGGTTTCAAACCTAGGCTCTCATGATCGCAAAACTAGTGTGCTATTCATTGGGTCAACCTTGCTCATTGACGTCAATATAACTCTGCCAAAGGTAATGCTCACGCATTCTCACATCATAAAAGAAAGCTGAGGTGCTCTCGTAGTTTTATTTTTTTAAAAATGGGGGTGATTTTTTGGTGCTTATTTGTTCTCTCGAATTTTGAGCTTATCAGTGTCTTTTTTTGGTATCGACTAAAACTCGGAGTGTCACGGTACTTATGTGGTAAAAGCAAATGCATATCTGTGGCGTTTCTAGGAGACACATCATGATATGCACTACTCATTGCTAAATGGAGCACATAAAAACAATTTCCAAAGAAAAAGAGCAGCCTCGCAGACAGTTCAGTGCGGTCGGTGTTGTGGTTCAACAAAAGTACAGACGTTTATCAAGGTTCCCTGCCGTGGAAAGTGCAATTTCTCTTCAAAGCAAGCTCAATTCGGGTTCTTTCGGTTTTTGCAGATTTCAAGAAAAATCGTTTGGAGGTCATATTTTCATGTATATCAGTATATACTGAAAACACGTAACCCACTTATGATTGAATGATTGTAAAAAGCATGCAGCATGCCATGGAGTTATTATAATGGTGGTGGTTGAAAGTGTTGCAAAGAACCTGAATGTTTTACTCGAACCTATCAACTTGATCCCAAAGATGCCACTTTTCTAGTGATTCGTTGACCACCACTTTCAGATACAAGAGACACACCTTTGCAAGTTGTGCAACTAGTCGCCCGAAGTATCTGAAAACTGGAGCTTGTTACTTCCCCCTCTCAGGCTACGACGTCAGAGACTCCCCCTGAAGCTGTGTTCAAGCGACGCAACACTTCCTTCGGTGACCACTCGTACGCAGCTGTGTCACCACGACTGCACAGGGTCCTGGCCACGAGTAGGCAAAAGCTGCAGAAGGCGAGGAAACTGTTGAAACAGGCAAAGAAGAAGATCAATCGGAAGACGGCCAGGATTAGGAAGCTGAACACGCTGCTCCGTGAACTGAGGAAACGACTTCCTAAGCCAGCAGTTGACATACTTGACAATGCATTCACCAACACAATGCGCAACCTCGTCTTAAAAAGAGTCAGGCGCAACAAAAACGCATGTACAGATGATGTGCGCAAGTTTGCCCTCACGCTCCATTTTTACTCGGCAAAGGCATACAGCTTTCTGCGAAAGCACGTCAAGCTACCACACCCAAGCACTCAGCGGAAATGGGCAGCGGTGGTTGATGCACGACCAGGACCAGGATGCACGACCAGCGACGCCGGGGCTACAGCGGCTCGGCAACTCGCTGGACCTGCGGGAGTTACGTGAGCAAAGGAGACACGACCTGCAAATGGGTGCACAAGAGCATCCCGAAGCTTGCTTCCAGAGAGGGTGCGACGTCGTCAAGGAAGTGACTAGCTGGGGAACTACCTGCGCAAGAAGGATGGAATTTTGCTTTCTGGCACTCCTCGACGGCCCCCAGGGACCGACAAGACTGCCAGTGCGACCACATCTCTAGGAATCGGGGTGCGACACCGGTCTCCTTGGAGTGCACATGTGCGTCAGAAGAGCTTGCTCTGCTCAGCCTCGTCTTGCGTGCACCAAGGAGGCTGCTAGCTTTGCGTCCCTCCAGTATGCTGCTGGACGACCGACGTGAGCCACCTCTTGTATGTACCGAGCGACGCCAGGGCTGCAGTGGCTCGGCAACTCACTGAACCTGCGGGAGTTACGTGAGGAAAGGCGACACGACCTGCGAATGGGTGCACAAGGGCGGAGGGGTCCCGCAAAGCTTGCTTTATGAAAGAGTGAAACATAGTCTTCAAGTGCATGCCTAGCTCAGGAACTACCTGCGCAACGGGAATGGAATTCCACCCTCCGAGTGTAATAAAGTGACTTGCGCACTGAACGTGACCCTATTCACTACTATTATCAGGCGCTGTGTCTAAAGATAGGTCTGACGTACCTAGGATGCAAAATCTAAAGATACGTCAGACGTACCCAGGACGCGGAGTCTGTGTCGGGTGTCGTAGCGTGGGCAGTCGGACTGCGGCCGGACGCTCCCGCTGGTGTATTTACAGCAGTCCGAAAGCGTTCCACGCTTGCGTCTTATCGACCTTGCATAAGTGGCTGGCAGCCGCTTGGCCTGGCTGCCGTGTGATACACGGGCGTGTGCCTGTCGTGTGTAAAAACGCGTGGAGTGCCAAGAAAATCAAACATTGTGTCTAACAAACTACTGATTTCAAATTCCCCGACTTTTTCAAGTTTTTCCCTGACTATTTTGATCAAATTCCTTGAGTTTTTGAGTCGAAGGATGACATTTCGGCAATGTCATTCAGCATGGCCGTGCCGACGAGCAACCGCCATGCCGCTTTCACTAGTCGTCTTCCCTTATTTAGCCCACTTTTTGAATGATTCCCCGACTTTCCCAGATGATCCGAAATTCCCTGGGAGTTCAAGGCTTTCCAGGTTGGCAGACACCTTTTGAAATTTCGGCACACGTTTGCGGGGTTTAGTGATCGGGAAGCTGCTCGAAAACAACATAACTATAAGAGAAGCTGGTACAGTACTGCTTACACGACTGTCGCCCCTTCACAGAAGGCACCCGGCAGGCGGCCGGGAGCCGCCGTCCGCCCGGAGTGACCGCCGTCGGTCTTTTTCACGTCACTACGGATCACATAGTGAAGTGGTCCGTAGTTAGCTCAGCACTGAGCAGTTCGGAGATTTCAACACTTCACTCGCTGCTTCAAATGCGAATCTTGACGGTCGAGCTAAGAAAATTGCCCGGGCACGTCCGCCGTACCGTTAGAACTCCGCGTTCTGGTTACGTCCTACATACCTTTAGACTCCGCGTTCCGGATGGGTTCGACGTATCCTTCGACTCGGCGATTATGGAGGAGCTCCCGTGGTTAACGATTGCGGATATTTTAATTAAACTCGAACGACCGAGCGATGTCCGAGGTGGTGATCCGAGCCCGTACGAGAAGCACGGGACCGAATCTGGCTTACTCTGAATTAAGTAAAAAAGAAAAGCCTCATTCCCTCGTACTTCACGTTATTCCTACGCGGGAGAGCACACAAAACCCTCAAAAACTGAATTCCGCTCACGAAATCCACACACTCCGATCAACGCCCACAACGCTTCCGACACGCACTGGGCGCTGCCATCTTATCGTTGACGCCAGAGATTTGGTCTGGTTACGTCATAGATTTGGCCTGGTCACGTGTCTAGTGGTCAAAATTGTACAACATGGCGGCGGCCAATCGGGGGTCACTTTTGCCTGATGAACGGTATACTAGTTTATCACTCTAAGGCCCTCTACCTCGTTGGTCCTGGTGTACTTTGTCAGAGCGGCTAAAAGCTTTTTTTTTTTAGTCGAAATACAAAATATAAGTGTCGCGAACCGTTTCTATTATGTATGAAAGTAGTTTTTGTTCAGTATTCTAGATCAGAAAAGAAAAAAATGCAGTTTATAAAGTACAGAAACAAGAAATGACCCGTCGACATACCCGCCATCAAGCGGCGGAAAAAAGGGCGCATACTGGAAAGGGCCAGTGGGATGAAGCACCGACGATCGCGGAGCGTAGAAAGGTCCCGGATGTACGCGGCGGCGCTGCCTTCGTCTACCGGCTCGAGGATCCGACCGGTTCCGAGCGTTCCGAAGGCCTTCGGCGCGGGCTTGGCTGGCGATTTGGCCATTTGGCGGTATGGCAGCGCGAAGTGGCTCCCGTTCTGAACTGATCTTTACCCCGTGTTTGCTGTCGTTTGTGGCCAATGAAGTGTTATGCCGAATTAGTCTTTAATCGCGCAGCAAATGCAATGCAAGCCGCCCTGGGCGCTCTCTTCATACAGCCTATCGAACACATGCTTTAGCGGTGCCCTCTCGAGCCGTCGACACGGAGTGCGGCAGCCGTGAGCGCTCGCTGAGCTCACTACCCCTCCATTAGTTCACGGCCACTCAAGCCAGGACCTATACGGCGTCATGAAGGAGGCTATTTTTTGCTTGTTTTTGTAATTCTAATTTGCCTATAACTTCTAAATTAAAGCGAAATTTGAGAAAAGAAAAGTTTGAATAAGTTACTACGTTCAGTGCGCTCAGGTTCGGTTCAAATTAAAAACCAGTAAAAACGTCCTTGCAGGGCCCCTTTAAGCTAGAGTAACTTGAGTAGAGTATTTGAACTACGTACAAGTCTGCCGTAATGGATAATAGGTCACGTGACCTGACGTCGCGTGAACCTATTACACCAACTTAGTTTTTCCCAAATTTAGCGGGAAATTCGACGTCCAATGACTTTTGTACCAAGTCAGTTTCGGAAACTCCCCACCCATGAAAGGACGGCTTAATGTCTTCTAAACAAATTTAAACGATCGCTCCTCAAATTCTGCGTTTCATGTATAATAATAGGCAGGCACGCAGCCAGGATTTTGATTCGGGGGAGGAGGGGGGAGAAGGGGGGCCGGGCTCCATGCCCCCCCCCCCCCCCCCCCCCCGCCCTGGCTACGTGCTGATAATTGGACACATCAATCAAAGTTGCTGTCAATCTATTTTTTCCCTTCACAGCTATCAGCTGCTTCGTCCGACCCATATATAGACATCTCCACTCCCGAGCCATGAATTACCGGTCGTGGTGCATACTGGTTGCCGCTGTCTTGGGCACCCTGGCCACTGCCAAGTGTGCCAGACTGGAAGACGCCGCGCTGCGACTGAAGGATTTAACTTCGAGCGGAGGACTCACCGGCTCGGACTCCAGCAATGGCATTGCAGGCAAAAAAGAGTTCCGCAACTACACGTCGGAACACCGCGAAGTGATCTGCAGGCCACTGGAAGGCGGCGGCATTGAGTGTAAGGGTCAACTCGATTTTTTTTTCTTCTTTTTTCATTTCTTTTTTGTGAAACTCTACGACTGACCACAGGGGACGCTGAAAGCCATCCCAGCCAATCCACTGATGTGAACGTGTCACGTGATTTTGTGTCCCACGCGTCGGTGCGCCCCTCCCGATAGCTTACGCGAGACTACCCGCGTGGCATATTGGATTGGCTTGAATAGAGAGCTTTAGTAGATCGTTCCGATAACAATATCCGATGCTAGAGAGTTTGATCAGACGGTTCCGATATTTTCGAAACACCCTACAACGATACCCAATAACGATACAATGCGTGCGCAAAGGCGGCGGCGAAGTATCGGGTATCGTTATCAGAGTCATCCGAACCATCTACTAAAAATCTATTCTCTGGCGACGCGTTTGCGAATGTCGCCATCGGGTATATCACTATCGGAAGTATCGGAAGGCTATATTAAAACTATCTATTAAAGAGATTTAGGAGATATCGTTCCGATACCTCCAATAACGATACCCGATAACCGTTCGATGCGCGTGCAAAGGCTACGAGGATTATCGCGAGTATCGTTATCGGAGTCATCGGAACGATCTACTAAACCTCCCGAATGGGAGGTTTAGCAGACCATCTTTTCGACTCAAAAGCGGAGCGAACTTTTTTGATATCAGTTGCCAATGCAATATTTTATCATCCTTACTAATAAAACATATTATTGAATGGACACATAACTGATTAAAAAATGGTTTGTGGGGATATTTTGACTGTTTTCTTCGGGGTACTGATGTTGTCTGCTTTGCACTTCCTTTTTGTTATAATTCGTCTGCCTTTGGTTCTGTCGCCGCCTGCGGAACGCGCGCCGCTTTTGAGTCGAAAAGATCGTCTGCTAATGACGCCGGCTCTCGGCGCCGTATGCTCGTTCGTTGGCGGCAGTTGGCGTCGCGAACGCCTGCGCCATCTCTTGTCTCCCGTGGGAAACGGCGCCGTATTGTTTGAAGACCGGTGGCTTTGCTGCGTTTCCATAGGAGCTAAACCTTTTTCTTTCTTTACTTTTTCCTCAGGTAGGTTCGCTCTTTGCAAATTTTACAAAAAAAATGCACCATCTGTGGGCGACGCTGCACAAAGTCGTAGCGCGATAGGTTAAGAAACCGAATTTTGCGGTCAATTTAAAGAGCTTGGGCGCTCCTTGGGGCACCCAGTATATGCACATTGGGACAGGATACTGAAATCGTTTAAGCGCGGGTTCACACACTCGCGACTGCCTACGACCAGCTGCAGGTCGTAGGCTGAAAAAAACTGGTTCTGGCGCAGGTGGTCGTAGTCAAACGCAAGTGTGTAAACCATGCTTTAGGCATCGGTGAAAGTTGTCAATCGCTCATGATCTCAAGTTAGGACTGTCCACTGCTTCGTATACCTACTGCTGCGAGTCCCCAGTTGCCAAGAAGTGTCCCTAAACACATGTGGCACCATCCGCAGGCAAAAGCACTGAAATCACCTCTAATTTTTCCTTGTCCTGGACTCCGGGAATCATCGCCGGCCTTGCGGTGGGACTGGTCGTGCTTCTCGTCTGCGTGACCGTCTGCTGCGTCTTTTGCTGCCGGGGAGTGTGCGCAAGGAGAAACACGGTGGGCGTTCTACACCTTTTCGAAGGATGTACTGTCGGCACTAAACTAGATTAGCACAAGTGATCCACGGCCGGATCGCTAAAGTCGCGGCACACTACGCTCCGTGGTGGCAAAATATTCTGAGGGTGAAAGTGGTCGGGTCGTTCTCTAACTTAAATGTTGGGATAATTCCAAATACGGTTATCGTTTGAAAAAAAAAAAATTTTTTTTTTTACAAGATTGATGCCCTCGTTTACGAGTCTTGAAAGTTCAGCGTATGAAATCCACCAATGACGGTAAAATTGAACAAAAAAGAAGACATCTCTGCCCTCAACGATCCAGTAAAAAAAGAGCCGCATTTCTATACACAATCATGCGTGACCGTCAAGTACCTGGGGCAAAGCAGCGGAACTTTCAGAAGCGCATTTTGGAAACGGCTGCCCTTCGCTGGACCCGCTCTTTGCTACAAGGATGGCACCCACAAGCGGACTTGAAAGTAGTTCAACCCTTCTACTCAAGTTACAGTATTTTAACTACTCCTGAGTAGATTAGTAAATTTCAATTACATTTTATTCTTCTGTAATGAGTAGTTTACTTTAACTTCTTTTCCCGACTAACTTCTAATCAAATTACAACTTACTTTCCAATTTTAGTGGTAGGTTTACTTATCAGCAAAAATTACTGCACAAAAAGAGATAAGATGTTGGATGGTCAACTGATATTTGCAAAGAGGGGAAATCATGTGGCGTAGGCAGGAGGGGAAAGGGGGGGGGGGTAGTGGTTTGGAAGGTTCGAAACCTTCTAAACTTTTCACGAACCCACCACTCCAACAACCCTGCTACAAGACGAGGGGGGCGGACAGACACGCCGCAAGTGACGCCGAGTAAATAGAATGAGCGCCGAAGATTGGTGTTCCTTTATGCCCGGAAGCTCAAGGAGACTTGACGCATTTGAAGAAAGGGCTTGTCCCCGCTTCTCCCAAAGTCGGAATTTTCGCCCACTACAAGACACACAGCATCCTCACTCAAAGGAGGCATCAAAGTGGAGAACCCGCTCTGAAGCTCATCTGGTGCTCCAATAGGTTGTGTTGTCACTTAAAGAATCGCGTGCTATAGGGCATCGCCAAGGTGACCTCTTTGCGTTGCCTTTCTTCCTAAAACGCAGAATATGCAGGTGTTTCAAGATTCGAAGATTGTCCGAGAGACCTTAGTAATTCCTCCGAAGATTTTACATAAAAAAGAGTAAACAAGCAGTGATGGTACGTAGCATTAACATGCATTTACTTAGCATTTACATGCTACGTAAAGTACTATTTCAAGTAGGTTTAGGAAACCTGTACTTTACTTGTATATTTTCTGAGCATATACTTGTACTTTTCTACAGCATTTCTTTTTCTGGTACTTTTCAAGGAAAGTACCAATCCAGACTTCAGAGTCAGCAGTTGTACTTTGCATGGCGCAATCTTTGTCGTAGTTCGTTTATGCAAAACACAAATCTAGTCCGAAAAAAATGAAGTTTGAGGCTGAAGTAATTGCAAACCGCGATTCCGCACAGGCGTATTTAAAACGTGACTTAGCGCGAACTTATATAAGACAAAAACCCGTCAAATTGTAGTACTTTTAATAGTGAATGCAGCACCACGAAAGTATGCACGTAGAAGCGCACAATTCCAAAATGCGTCTAATATCGTATGCATACATTCTTATAAATTCTGCCTCAAAACTAAATTAAAAGATCACTTACGGAGCCGCTAAGAAATATTAACACTTGCCACACATTTCCCTCTTTGCAACTGCGCAACGAAGGGAAACTGTGGTGGCTGCATACCGAAACCACCGACGCCCGAGAGAACAAACCGGCTCCCCGAAGACAACAGTATGCAAACCGTAAAAACTAACTAAAAAAAAAAAAAGAAAAAAAAAAACGCTTCGAGGTTGGAATTTTTATTTTTCGCCGAGTGTCCAACCCTTGCGCTAAACGCTAACGCATTTCGTCGGGGATCTCCGCATCGATAGCAACAATTTCGGCATCATTTTTGATTTATGTAGTACCGTATTTTCCGGGCTATAGTCCGCGGACTATACATGTTTAAAAGTTGAAATTTCTGGCTGTGCGGACTATCTACGCGTGCGGACTATAGAGGAATTATGTTTTTCAATATCGTTGATTATGACGAGACGGGACGGATTTTGTGAATAAAAGAGTATGTTATTGATAATTTATGTATATTATAGGCTTTTTTTGTGAGCTAAGAAAACATACATATGTCAAGATGTGCCGCGTATGCGAAGAACTTGGTGTCGACTAAGCACCAGGTACGGACCATGCAGCGGGTGCGGACTATATACTTTGCTATCTAAGCAAAAACTTTCATTTTTGACCCCAAATTTGCCTCTGCGGACTATACACCGGGTGCGGACTATAGTCCGGAAAATACGGTACTTCTAAAGTTCCTTGATAGCAATTTACGTTTTTAAGTGACCCATTCTGGGTTAGTTACCTAGAACCTATAGCGCTTCCACTGCACTCCCAGCTTTTAGTCAGCATCGTTTTACACCGTTACGGCTCCTAGCCCATACAAGAGTTAATCGACCTGCCTTTATGGTTTGTTTCAGTAGCAGAACACGGTGGTCTACCAGGTACCGCACCAGGTGACCACGGGACCAGGGACCCACTCCTTTCCGCCAGGTGCTTACCCTTAACAGCAGCGCTGATCGTCGTCTTCGCTTCGAGAACAACACCAAAGCAACCAAGCCGGCGAATGGGTCGAGCCTGTAAATGCTCAACTGTGCCACGACAGACAAATCGTAAAAATCTGAAAAAAAAAAAGAACTTCTGTGTGCATTTCCGAGAAACCTCTGTGCTATTCGCAATTTGAATGTATACGAAATGCACAACACAGCGTTTTCTATATCCACCGCTCGACATGTGCAAGTTGGTCCCTTTGGATAGAGAGCACCTCTTGTCTTCAACATTTTTCTCACACAAATTCATTTAATAAAAAATCACTAATGACCACTTAAGTGATCTTTCGTTATAAAATTGCCCGATTATTCAATAACAAAACAGCAACAAAAAGTGCAACGCATTTAAATGCCGTAATAGACCATCTTCGAAACTCCATCGAGCAACATTGGTGATCTCCTTTTCTGGGGCACGAAGAGTGTGTTTGAGTCTGAGTCTCCACCGAAGGCTGACGCCGCACTCGTTGTCGATACGAGCTGAGACGACTTCACGCCGTACGCTGACGCAACCTTTAAGTTTCAATACATGCTCAGATTGCGTGCCCAAACAATGACAGATTCATGTAATTGCCGCTGTAGCTACGAGATGGCGTGCACTTTTGAAAAGGGTTTATTGGAGGGCATTGGCGGCGAGTATCAAGAGCTTTATCGCAACCTTGCCAGGAAAAAAAAGAGTGATTTGGGTACGGCAGCATATATATATATATATATATATATATATATATATATATAAATTATTATTATGTTTCATAGGGGTCATCAAGGGAAGTTGTTCGGACGTCGAGGAATTTAATTATCCAAAGTACTGCCTTTCACCAAACTAAACCCTGTAACCCGCGCTGTCCAATCCCTTTAGATAAAACAAATGTTTCAAATGCAGACAGCGGAAGAGCTCATGTAAGATTGTTTCTACGGCAACAAAATGGAAGTCATTAATAAGTGTGCCGAGCAAAGAAACGTTTTACTGAGGTTCTATACGGGGTGTCAATTTTTCACTTCTGTTTTCAGTAATCTGTCAGAGTCCAGTCGTCTCCATATAGTGCGTCACCTCTATGTCGTTTCATCCACTCGCCCGGTATTTATAGTCATCATTGCTTACCATACACACACTGTATGTTTTAGATGTTATAACTTGTTCTCTGGTATTGTTATTTAAATAAATCTACCAATAATGTGATACATTTGCTATAGAATCTACCAATAAAACCACATTCGTCACGGACTTCGTGTTACCGACATCAATTTCCACTCTTACAACGCAGAAGTCCCCGTACCAATGTTATGAGAGTACGCTCACACTTGCGTATGCTTACGACCGAGTTCTTGTGACCTCTTACGACGAGAAAACACACTAGCACGTCGGCGCCATCTATGAAGAGACCCTTGAACTGCGTTGGAATTGAGGGAAGGTTTTGCAGTATTTGAGAGATCAAATGTACGTAATATCTACTAAAAATGATCGCTCACAACGTTGGCAAAACTTTAAAAAAAAATAATAATGCGCGAAATAAAATATACGGGAACTGCAAATTGTTTCCACAGATACACGCTGGACGCGAGATCTGTTCTCTCGTCGCACTTACCAATGGGATAACCAGGTGAGACAAGACACTGTGGGTGAGGCGAATGAGGGTGTGCAACGGAAGAAAAAAGTTACAAAGTGCGTCGCATTATTTATCATCCGTGCTCCCTCGATTAGTGCTTGCTATTACATATTTTTATTAACTTGAATACCCAATACATTAATGTGGGATGCTTTGTTCCTCAACTCCACGTGCGGTGGAGTAAACAAATGTTAAACCAAACGCCGGAACATTATGGCCACGCGTTTCAGCGGGGACCAACAATGCACTCCACGACGAGCGCTTGGCAGAAACTTGGCGACTTCACGAGTTTTCTGCACGCTCTCAACGGCCTTTGTTTTTCGACATTGGGTTATTATAATGAACAGCTGCAACGGAAAAAGATTAGCACAAGTGACCGACGACCGGGGCGGCAAAATCGCTACACGCGGCGCTATTGTTCCCGAGCGATCCGATAGCGAGAGTGCCAGTCACGTTCCATGTTTCAGCGCGGGGGTGGCCGGAAGAAAATGGACGCACAAGATAGCTTTCTAAATGCGTGTTTTAGGGTAGGCTGCTTTTTGCCGGCCACCCCAGTGTTGAGACACGTGACGTGACTGTCACTCTCGCTATCGGCGAGCTCGGAAACAATAGCGCCGCCTGTCGCGATTTTGCCGCCGCTCCGGTCGTCGGTCACTTGTGCTAATCATTGTTTGTTGCAGCTGTATGCTAGAGGGTCAACTGCCGCTATACTTTGTTTCACCTTAAGTCCAGACACAACCGACCCTACGAGCTGATGAGGCCAATCAGACAGCGTCAAAAGCTCACCTCCATGGTGTTCTCCATGTTTCTCTGCCTGTTCTACCATCGCTGAATCAAACAGAAAAGGCCCAGTGACTGACGCTTTTGACTCTGATTGATTGGTTGATTGGGTTGACTCTGATTGATTGGGTCGTAGCGTCAGCTGCGTCTGGACTTAAGTTGGAACGAATCATAGTGTTTATTCGACTTGCGGGATGCGCATTGGGATGCGCAGCAACCAGTCTACTTTTGCGGTGCTCCTGTGCATTCCCGTCGAAAAACACGCGTGTATTTTGTCTATTCGCCGGAGAATAGCATGAATCACTTTTGAGTTTTTGGTCATACCGAATAGTATGTACCCTTATTTCAATTATAAAAGTGTAATTGCTTTAGTTATAGTATTTTTTTTAAGGGTGAACTATGTTCAACTTTGCTATATTTAAGTCCCAAACCTCTGTTCTACAGCAGGCGTGTAAAAACAAGCGAAGATGCTAAGAAAAATAAGGACCGAAAGGAATGCAGAATGTGTTCAAGGGTCGCCATCTTTCCGGTGACGCGTATTAATTGTCAATACGCCAGTCCTATCACTATATGAAAATCACCCCGTCGTGCATTCCTTTACGAGAGGTTAAAAACATTCGAAACGTAAAGAATAAAGCACGTGGGCTATGAAAGATGTCTATTTTTAATGTGGAAGTATTAACCATCCCGTGGAGCGCCGCCGGCGTTGTTTGTGACCGCGAAAAACGGGCAACTAAAGAAAGGCTGGCGTGCGCTCGGCAGCCCCTCTCCCCCCTCTTGGATGACGTCTCAGGAATGCTTGAAGACCCTCCCGCCAGGTCTATGGCCACGACCTGCAGATTATCACGTTTATTTCCTCGTACGGTATCATTCTGTAAGAAATTTTAACGGGAAATGGTCCGATACTGTTCAGTGCCTCAGTGTAATACCCATTCCACCGATGTGGGGGTCAGTTTTTACTGATATCCAGCGGCCGGCGCGCTGAAGAAAGAGTGGCTCTCGAAGTTGAGATCTGCGAAGATTCACGCGATGGTTTGCTCTAAAAATTTCTCCGCCGAATACTTAAAACAAATGATGCCTGACGACTGACGTAAGTGGAAAAAGAAAACTGTTTACATAAGTGTCACGAGTGGCCCAAGTATAGAGTAGGCGTAAAGCGTGTTCGTTGATAGTCGCTCGCTGCTGGGCAGTGGGATCGTCCTTAGTGTGGGTTCTTTCGCTGCGGTGTTTCTGGAGAGCATGCGAATGCCACGAACTTATAACTGCGTGAGAATTCGACTTTTGAAACGTTGTAAAATTGTCACGCCTAAGAGCCCACCTACACTATGACACAGTAAAGGAGACATCGACTGCAGCGGAAGCGACTCGCTCAGTGTCCGTGTGCGTCGCCCGCACCTGATGAATTGTCTTGAAGTTCGGTCGGAAGTACGCGCTAAATAGGGCTGATGGCAACTGGTTAACCTACCGAAGGAACAAGACGGGCTATCGCGCCTAATCAGTTGCTTGTCTACACTCCATGAGTCTTGTTTGCCCTCCGCGCGTGGCGAAGGTATCGTGCCACTTCGCATGTAAAAACAAATTTTCAACGGCAAATCAAACTACATAAAAATGGCAGGATTACATCTAAGGTAAACAGCTCATTAAAGTACATGGGCGCCACGTGTGAAGCTCGAGCAATTCTTTTTCTGAAGTGACTGCACTAGCTACTCCAAAACCCTTCGCGAGCCTCCAATTTTCGAGAATTACAAAATTAGCGAAAAATAAAGGCACACGAGTATTTATGTTTTGAGACCACAATTAAAATCTCTAGAAATTGCAAGAGTTAGCGGCCGCGAATAAGTTCCTGTGCCTAATTTGCGAATAATTGGGATCGCAAAAATAAAGTGTTTTATGTATGCAACGTTTCAAACAATCGGGAGGACGAACTCTCAAAAATGTTTCCGGCGTTTGGAGCTACAAACAGTAGTTATGCGTCAAGGCAAGTTCACGAAAGTTCATCAATCGTGGCACCGTTCGTCAGTTTCAGGTCCACAGTGTTGGGATCCTTGCTGAGAGTGGACGACTGCAGCACGTAAGTGCACGTGTACGCTCGTCGACCTGGTCTTTGGGGCCACAACGCTGCGGTCAAAATAATGTGCCCGGCATTCACAGGTTGTTCGCATTCGACAAGTCATCGCTTTTCAAGTCATCGCTTTTTGTGGGAAATGTACTCTATGATAGTATGCATTGTCACTGAAACTGAAACAAAGAACCGCATCACAACACAAACCACAGCAGGAACATTATGTAAGTATCTGGCTTGGCATTCTTTGCATTCGCGTATTTCCACGCTCTTAGAACGATACAATCTTTTCGAAGAAACAAACGTTCACAACGTACAAGCCTTCATCGTCGCGAGGATCCATGCTTCAACGTGCGCCGAGAGTAGATGACGTGCGGCGGTATCCACACTCGTAGTGTTTCCAACATCGGCTGAACGGTGGCGACTCTGTTCGATCTCGAAGCGAATAGCTTGTGAATCCCAAGAACACCCGAGGGGGTCATTGGGCGATTTTCAGTGAAGTATGACACAGACTTTGGGATGAGTCATTCCGGTATACCGCCTTCTTGTCTATTGTAAGCGGCCTGTCCTTGAGCGACCGGTACTCCATTTGCTTTAAAGTACTCCAACAGATGAATGTATGGAAGCGGGACACCTCGAATCATTCCCAGGTTTTTCGAGTAAGACTTGGGAATAGTTGCCTTCACTTCAATTCCAGTGATGGATTTCTGTGTGAGTAGCCTATTTGCTGCTGTGATGTGACGCTACTCACAACGGTAGGTTTCCTTCCTTGGACATTCTGTGTAATAGGATTTTATCCTTTGCTATTCCGAGTACCTCATTTGCCAGGGCATTAGGGTCAACCTTCCAGAGCACAGATTCTTTGGAAGTAGGGTGAAAGAGCACTGGAATTCCAGTCGGTCGGTTTTTCTTGTCATCTTCGTTATTATATTTTCCTCGAACGAGTGGGTTGACGTCTCTCCTTTCGATGGAGGTTCCGACATCTTGGGTCCTGGCTCATGAATGTCACCCATGTGCGGTCATTTGATTGGAACAATGGCTGCTCGATGCGATGAACTCAGTTCTTGGGATGGTAGATTATCTTTGGATGGAAGGCATTTACCCTTTGACTCACTTGTATGTTCTTGTTTTATGTGCTTTGGCGGCTTTATCGATGGGACGGCATCGGCTTGCAACAGCGGGCCGCCTGTCGTCGAGGTACGTTTTATATTGCTTGATCTTTAAGTCGGAACGGCCAAGGTATCCTTTCAACATAGATAATAAATGATAACTGCAAGAGCCCAGAGACTGGGACAGAGCTGTTCGGCGGCTTCTTCCTCCTTCTACTCTGACCTCAACCAGTATGTTATTCAGTTGGTTTGGCCTGCGTAATGGCTTCGTTGGTGTTAAACGATCTTCCTTTACTGCTCTGAATTAAAATGCTGTCTATAAAAATGTGCACAAAAGTTTGTATTAATTTTTTTTTATTTCATTTGCAACTATTGGAGCACATTATTTCACAATTCATGTTTAGAATAAAGAAAAGAAACGTTCGAAAAGCAACATTCGAATATCACTCAAAAGATAAATTTGAAAACTCGAGACGATAATGTAGCTAGCAACACCCCTGTGTCGTCTGGTTATTAACGCGTGTTTGCGTTTTTTTCCCTTTTTTTATTCTGCTTCACATCTCAATATATCTAGGCTTATTTGACCTGTTTACTTCCGCAACGTAGTGTCTCTAATTACTTTTAGAAAGCTTAATTTAACTTAAATATCCCACGAATTTCGAAATTGTTTCGTTGATGCTTTCATATCTTCCGGTACGACACCGAAAAGCTGAGCTTACGCATAACAACCGATAAGCTATAGTGTTAAAGAAGCGAGCA